ACACACACACACACACACACACACACACACACACACACACACACACACAGCCATCCCACCCCAACCAAAGAAGAAGAAATAGCATCCAGGCAGGGTCAATAGCTGGATTAAATTTTCAGAGGAATAAAGAAAAATCAGGAAGGACTAAAACACTTTAAACTCCATCTAGTTTCATGCTATATCCCTAAAGCCTACTACAACACAGTGAGTGAGCTCAAGAAATGAATGTGCCTCTTTCCACATCCCCACCCCAGGCCTGGGAGAAGGAAAAGCAGGGGTGACAGGGCAAAGCCTCCCTTATAACTCTGCTGGAGAGAGAAGAAGGCCAGCAATGATTAGGTAATCTCAGTAGTCCGGAACCACTTTCCTGTTACATATCATGCACACACCCTCCACTAATTTTGATCACGTTATCAAAATCTTCAGTTCCCTTGTTTCCATTTGGCATTACGTCTCTTATTTTATCCTGGATTCCTTCAAGGATCCTGACACACTGAGGTGTTGAGAAGCAACTTTCCTCAAGCTTGGTGGCCAACTTCCATTCATCATTCAATATAAACATTAACACAGCAGAGTCCCAGCTCCTGCTGAATCATGGCCTCTGTCTCCACACTTTTGGTAGCCCTGGGCTCCCAAGAGAGCTTTTGCTCCTGGCTCCCCTTGCTAAGTGGCTTGTTGGGCTGCCTGGGCATTCTGGGCTTCTGGGTGTAGGCAGCTCAGCACCACCTACACCATTCTATCCCTACTCCTGTTATCCTGGGACAAGCCTCTGCTGCTGCCAGGACAGCCGCTTGCTATTGCCAGCAATTCATCCGCAATCAGCAGCAGTTAGCAGCAGCCTGAGTTAACACACATTAGAAACCACTCGGCAAACTCAGAAAGGAAAACCTCTGAGGATTTTAGAGAACGGCTGACCTCTTCCCATCCTCCAGCTGCAGTGAGAAGCCTTACACCCATCTCTCCAGAACTCTAAAGAGGCTGCCGATGTACACTAGATCTTGTAAACCCAGGAGAGGCTATACCTTCTTTGGGGTCTGCAACATCTCTTTCCAGAGCTCCCACCTTGAAATAGGGTTTGGCTAGATGGCAAGCAACTAGCTTCATGCTGTCCTGTGATGAAGGCTCAGAAGTCATCCACCTTGAGCTCCTTCCATCAGCAAAGTGGCACCAAGGGATGAATCTTAACACCTTCATTATTCCATCTAAGCCACCAGTTGGCGGTGCACACCAGCCAATGCCCAGATGTCAAAGTCTTAAAAGACAAGACACAGCCATCAGTATGGAACTGCTGGTCATCTCTTGGAGAAAACCACTCAGCATTAAACAAACATTTACTGAGCCTCTCCTATGTTCCAGGCACAGTGCAGGCACTGGTATTCAGAGCTGAGGAGTTCACAGCCTGGAAAGATAGAGTGAGATCTAGGTAGATAGTTACCATACAGTGTGATAAACCATGGTAGCAAGAGGCATCGGGTGCTGGGGAAGCCTATAAGAGGACACAAGAAAGCCTTCCTGAGAAGTTGATGCTCGAACAGAGCCTTAAAGAACAAATAGGACTTAGCAGGGCAAAGATGGCAGAGGGCACATCACGCACAGATGCTCTGATCCTGGGGCATTTGGGGAGCTGCACTGGTAGGTCAGGGGACGGGATGGGCACAATGCGGCAAGAGATGAGACTGAAGGAGGAGGGTCAGTGGAGGCAAAACTTAAGAGTTTCTTGATGAATTCCAAGGCTCTTTCAACCACTATCTCTATTTTCTAAAAATAGAGCCATGAAGGAATGGAATTTTAGAAACAGAAGAGAACTTGGACATCCACTAATGTCACCAAGTAAGCTAAGGCCCAGGAAGGTCAAAGTAGGATTGGAGGCAGCACGTGGAGATGATGGGATGCCAGTAGATCACATAAGACTTTACAGTCCACCAAGCTCTTTCCTCATCACATATCAAGAACAGAGGGAAACGCAAACAAGTCAAAAGACCTAATCTATAAGCATGCCTCAACCACTGCCTGGCCTTGGGTCTTCAGTAAATCCTTTTATGGCTCTGGATCTGACTTTCACATCTACAGAAGGAAGAGGCGGGATCACTAGTGCTCTTTCCGGTTCTGACATTCCTTGTTTCTAGAATCTGATACTATAGAGCCTTGACTGTCAAGTTGGAAAAAGGTAGCTTCTCCTATGAAGACCTACAGTTGTAATTTTCTGAAGGTTTTCGGGGTGGCTCTAACTCATATTTCTAATCATAATCCATTTCCCATTTAAATCAACTGGTCATGCTTAATCTAGCATCACCCTTATTGAAACTGTCTGCAATTAAACCTCCAAACGAGGTACCTCTGTAATCTCTAGAAAGCCCTCTGATCCCAAAGAAGTCATTGTCTCACTCCAAACTGACACTCTTTCATGATATGCAACCAAAGGCCCCAAAGGATAGCTTGCTTTCTTTTCTCGTTTAAATTTGGGCACTGAAAATCTACAGGGACATTTCATAATAAAGAAGTGAATGTATCACACCTTCTGCCTTCCTTGTCATTTATTATTACAGACATTTGCAGGACAGCAGGCTCACATTACTTTGGATCCATCCAGGCCTGCTGGTAATTCTCATTATAAGGCGAGGAGCACAGCCCGAGAGGCCCTTCGTTTATCACGAGTGGAACAACGTGGATGTCACCGCAAGGACTGAAGACACAGGAGGGACCGACTCAGCCCAAGCCAAAGGATTCCTCAGCAGCAGTGACCATGCTTCATGCAACCAACCTGAGAAACAGAGAAAAGAAAAAACAGAAAATGTGAACTTGCTAACTTTTCAACAGTGGAGTTTTTTGTTTTTTAAATCAGGGTTATGTGCTTCTAGGCACTGTGCTCTAGTGTAGAATCTGAACATGAAAAAACTCAGCCCTGCCCTCAAGGAGCTTACAATCAAACAGGGGAGATGGAAGAGTGAAAATAGAAGTTGCAAGAGATAGGTACCACAAAACCAGAAGTTGAGTTCAGAGAGGAGAGAAATCCCAGCACCCTGGGTGGGCAGTGACACCTGCAACAAACAGGGCAGGGGCAGGACTTAGGCAGGAAGTGGGTGTGCAGCATCCGCTTCCCAGGTCGCAGGGGGCCACCTCCCTCTCACCCTGCACTCTCCTTCACTTAATTATTTCCCTCACAGTTCTCATACCCCCTGAATTTCCTTCCTTCCTTCTTCCCTTCATTCTCTTGTTAACAGTGTGTCTCCCCCACTAGAAGGCAAGCATCACGAGAGCAGGACTTCGCTTTGTTCTCTTCAGCGCCTGGCATGGAACCGGTGCTCAGTCAATGTGTGAAGGCAGGAAGGCAAGGCAGGCAGGCAGGACATGAGGGAAGAAGGGAGGGAGAGAGGGGGACAGGGAGGGCAGATACCATCCACAGAAATGGATTCATGTCCCTACCCATCTCTGCCTTGCATCCTACTGAGATTTTAAAGACTGCTGTGGATTACTTCCACCGAGAGATCTGCCGTGATGCCCTCAGCTCACCTAATTCTTAACCTGGCCCTAAATTCTTTCACAGTCTGGCTTACTCCCCGCCACGCATCCCACAAAACTGCATGATCACTTGCACATGCTGTTCCCTGTGCCAGGAATATCATCCCTTTGTTACACCTTTACGTGCCAGATAAACGCCCGCTCATTCTTCACAAGTAAAGGTGGCAATTTAGTGATATCTAACAAAATGTTAAATACACACCCCTTCTGACCCATCAGTCCACTTTTGTAAATGGACCCTTGGGTTTTCTCACACAGGGCAAATGTCACCTCTTCTGCGAAGTTCCCTCTGGACTCTGAAGCCGGCCCCTGGCTCCCCTGTGACCCAGTAGCACACAGAGCATCCCTTTCATATATCATGTATCCTGCAGTGTATCATTTACAAGTTGTTCTCCTGATACTGAACCTGAGCTCTTCACGAAACTTAACATTCTTGTGAGGAGACAGACAAACATGTAAGTAAGAGAGCAAATAAATGCATAAACACATACTTTCAGATAAGGTCTGAAAATAAACAGGATAATGCAATCTCCAAGCAAGAATGAGAATCTCTCTTTGCTAACTTATTGTGCACTTCCTGTGTGTGTATTATGACTGTCATGTTTTAAAATGTAAATTCTCCTCTAAGGGTCTGTACTGTGTGTGCATTTTGATATTCTACGGGATGTTGCAGGCATCTGGGTCCTGTCTGCCCAAGTGTGCTGTAAGATTGTAACAGCAGAAACCATATCCTGTACATCTTTCGCCTGCCCCATGTCACCTAACACAGCAGGATTTCAGTTACCCCCTAGTTGATTAGTCATAAAAGGAACCTAAAGCACAGGTGCTACTGATGAGTCTGAAGCATCATCTTTGAATTAAATGTTCAAACACATGGAGACGGATGAACCCCAAAATGGAATGTTCACTATCAACCTAACAGAGATCTGTGCCTGGCCCCTGACCAGTTCAGATTAAAAAAAGCAAAAACAAAACAACCCTCTAAGGCTATAGATCAGTATAATTCTAACAGGTAACCTGAATGTATTGTCTTTAAAGTGAATTTGTGACTTATGAGAATCTTTATTTTGAAGGAGTATAGAAACTTATAGGAAGTGACTCATGCACAGCCCCTAATTTCTATACCCTCTATTTTCTGTTTTATAGCAGCCTCATAAGAGAATAATTGCTATCATTAGACGTATGTTTGTAAAAGATAACAATAATGCTTATTCAGAAATTCCTTCAGAATGCCAGGGAATGTTGCAGGAGATTGATATTACTGAATGAGTAAGATTTGGGATATCTTTTGCAGTAACAAATCTAAAATACCTATTTAAGAGAAGAATTACTTTCTCAGTCTTAACCTATAATATTCATACAAAAACATGCAGTAATTGTTCTTTTAATTATTTTCCTGTTTGGCTTTTTCTCTTTTGGTTTTCTAATGGGCAAACAATGTAGTCAGTGAAGAAAAAGGAAATTCTTTTCAGAACAAATAGGAGGGTAAAGAGAGGCTCTATATTGTTTGTACATTTAAGATGGGAACATTTCCTACACGAGGAAGAGAGTAGATGTGAGCTAGTTTTCAATGGAAAAACATCACAGTGACTGAAATGTTTACTTTTTATTGTTATTATGCACACCAAACTCCACAGGGCTCTTTTGTTGTTTAAAAATGAGGTATCAAAATTGTTACGATGATAATTTTCTCTACATTGAACTATAGATTCAACACAATGACAATTATGATCCCATAAGAATTTTTAGTGAAAATTGACAAGCTTATTCTAAAACATATATGAAAATGCGAAAGACTTAGGAGATCCTAGACCTTCTTGAAGAAAAAGCAGAAGAAGAAGAAGGAGGAAGAATGGGAGGAGAAGGAGGGGGAGGGGGAGGAGGAAGAGAATCACACATGTAGTTAATAAAAGTAAATAGGCAGGGCTTCCCTGGTGGCGCAGTGGTTGAGAGTCCCCCTGCCGATGCAGGGGACACGGGTTCGTGCCCCGGTCCGGGAAGATCCCACATGCCAGGGAGCGGCTGGGCCCGTGAGCCATGGCCGCTGAGCCTGCGCGTCCAGAGCCTGTGCTCCGCAACGGGAAAGGCCGCAGCAATGAGAGGCCCGCGTACCGTAAATAAATAAAAATTTTTTTAATGACTAGGCATTAGGAGTTTGGGATTAATATACACACACTACTGTATAGCTCAGGGAACTATACTCAATATTTTGTAACAACCTCTAAGGGAAAATAATCTGAAAAAGATATCTCTGAATCACTTTGCTGTACACCTGAAACTAACACAACATTGTAAATCAACCATACTTCAATTTAGAAAAAATGAATAGGCAAGTCACAGATTGGGAAAAATCATCACCATATATATTATCATATCACTATATATATATTATTACTACCAGATGGGCAAAAATGTTTAATCTGTTTAAAAAACATTTAAAAATTAATAAATATTTTCAAGAATGTGGCTCATTGGAAACTCTTATACATTGCTAACGGAAGTATAAATTTCCAACGACAATTGATTCTCATCTGTTGCAGTAGTTATATTGAATTAGCAAATATTGAACCATTGCTCCTAGGAAAACTAAAGGGTTAGTTCCCTGCTAGTCTCTAGTCACAATATTTTTGTCAACCAATCAACACATAACCTGGTTTTATTTGTACTTCTATTCAAAGACACCTTATTTAACATATACTGTTGATTCATTAATATTGAACTCATAGCCAACAGTACAAAACTCATACCTAAAGGAAATATCTAACATACATCTCTGTAAGGCACATCCTGCAGACAGTTCCTACTATGTGACTCTGCCCTTTTGGTCATAGCTGATTGGATCATTTGTGGACACCTGACTGAAGCTGGGCCAATCAGAATCTACCCCTCAAGAATTTAAACTGAGAGCCATAGTGCAGAAGCATTGGCAGCTGTAATATTAATGGCCAATTCTCAAGTGAAGGTTGAGCTGTAGAGGTTCCCAGAACTGCCCTGCTTAGCACCCCCTTCCTGAATACTAGTTTTTCAGGTTTTCCTAGAATTCCGTGAGGTTTCTTCTCACGAATCTATGTTCCACAAGTTGTAACTAAGACACAGTCATTTATTCATTCAACAAAATTTTCAAGCATCTACTAGGCACCAGGCACATAGCTGGAAACTTAGAGTGTGGACCCAGATGTCAAAACAACTACACAAATAAGTATATAGTTACTGGCTGTGAAAAGTGCCACAGCAGAAAAGCATGGGTGCTCTTAGGGAATTACTTTTGTCACAAATGAGACAACATATGTAAAGCACTTAGCACAAGGCTTGGCTCCTAATAGGCTCTCGGTGTACTATATTCTTTGGCCAAATTCTCTCTAAATAATTGTCCTGGCACAATGTTTTCCTGGGTGAGACCGGCCCATATCCTGCCAAACCGTTCTAATTGGCTGCTAGTTTACTCCTTGCCTTTACTTTCTGATGCCAACGTATTAGTCCCAAAACACCACTTTGATTATACTGCCTGGTTGTATCCCATGCCAAAGAGTTTGGACTCTTTCCTGTAAGCCAGCTGTGAGGTCTCAGATGGGAGAAATGTAGGTAAGCAGGATTCTTGGTCACCTGTCTCCGTACTCCAAAGGAAAATAAAAATGCTGCTACTACAGAGGGAAAAAAGGAAGGACTGGGTGTCAAGCAGGCCACTGCTGCGCTCGTTATTTCTACTGAGTTAATTAAGTTGTCCAGTTGTCCAAATAAGTTTTGACCAAGAGGGAGGTGAGGAGGGAAGGAGACAGCAGCTCTGAGGTAGGCCCTTCATCCTTCGGCACTGGAGAGAGGGCTTTGATTGCTCAGAACAGACTGCTACGGGGATGGTCAGTTCAATAAAAAACGTTCAGCCACCTGCTCCGCCTTCCGCCCCAGAGCCCCAGTGGATATCTGGGTGCCAGAGACATTCTCTTTGAGGGGTCCCACCAGGTACTACTCTGCCAACTCTTCTCTCCTCCTCCTTCTCTTTCTTTGCTTTATTCTCCCATTCTAAAGCATTTTGTGGCATTTAATATGGCTACACAAGATAACAGTCAAATGTAGGAGGACCTAGCTTGTTTACAATAGGACTTACAGCTTCAGGAAATAGGGTTTATTCCTGGAAAGGATAATTAAGGCATAAGAGCTTTATTTTATGAATCATACCATCCTGTGTGGAAGCAAAGTGTACCTTATGAAAAAATCATTACTGTTCATAAAACCAAATCCAAATCT